CGGGGAGCCCCCACAATGCCCAACTACAGCCCAAGACGACCCCAATAATCCCCCAGAACGTAAAATAATTGCCAAGACGCTCCCAAGCAACCCAGGATAGCTTTCGGGCGGCTGACCTCAAGAGAGCTCCGAGAGGCCTCCCGAGAGCGCCTGGAGAACCTAAGGAGAAGCTAAAATCGCTATTTGCATGATTTGTTCCAATGGTTATTGACCTTCTCACCATTTCATGCTCCCAACCCTCCAAGAGCGGGAGCAGGAGGTCGCCAGAGACCTTCGAGATGACTCCGGGACCCCCCAGAGGCCTCCAACACTCCCCAGACCCTTGAGAGGCCCCCAAAGAATCCCCGACGAGGCCCCCAAAACAGACCAAGAGAGCTTCGAGAGCCGTCCCGAGAGAGCCCGAAGAGGGTCAAATCATTGATTTTGAGTGGTTTTGTCGACTTTTTCCGCCTTGCACGTCTTCCGGCTTCCAGCGCAGAAGGACTTTCACATATTCCCTTTTTTAGAAATTCAACAAATGCGCGCCCCTTCCTCCCGGGAGTCCCACACCGTCCCGGAACATTTGCGGAACGCTCCCGGTACCACGCTTCCTGACCTCCCGGGGAGCCCCCAAAACGCCCCAGGACAGCCCAAGATGACCCCAAGAAGCCCCCAGAACGTAAAATAGTTGCCCAAGACGCTCCCAGGCAACCCAGGATAGCTTTCGGGCGGCTCCAGGCTCCCAGGAGGCCTCTAAAAGACTTCAAGAGAGCTCCGAGAGGCCTCCCGAGAGCGCCTGGAGAACCTAAAATCGTTGATTTCCATTGTTTTTGTTTAAGGGTCTGTGCCCCTTTCACCATTTCATGCCTCCAACCCTCCAAGACGGCCGAAGAGGCCCCCAAGACCGCCCCGAGACCGCCCAAGAGGCTCCCAAGACCGCCCCACGACGGGCCAAGACGGCCCCAAGACTGCCGAAGAGGCGCCCTGGACAGCTCCAGACCACCCCAGAACAGGCCCAAGATAAGCCAAAGAGCGGGAGCAGGAGGCCTCCAGAGACTTCTGGGAGGACTCCGGGACCCCCCAGAGGCTTCCAACACACGCCAGACCCAACCATCTTGTGGTGTTGGGTCCTCGTTTTGAAGAGACGTCCCCCCGCGTTCCTCTCCTCCTCTCCTCCTCCTCCTCCTCCCTCCTCCTCCTCCTCCTCCTCCTCCTCCTGATTCCTCTCTCCTCCAGTCATCATCATCATCATCATCATCATCATCATCATCATCATCATCATCATCACCATCACCATCACCATCACCATCACCATCAACATCACCATCACCATCACCATCACCATCACCATCACCATCACCATCACCGTCCTCATCCTCATCCTCATCCTCATCCTCATCATCATCATCATCATCATCATCATCACCATCATCATCATCATCATCAGCATCATCATCATCATCATCATCATCATCATCATCATCATCCGCATCCGCATCCTCATCCTCATCATCCTCATCATCATCATCATCATCATCATCATCATCATTATCATCATTATCATTATCATGATGGTGTCCGTTTCGACCCACCCCTGGAATGTTTTGCTGAGGAGGCGAGAAGTACAATAAAATTGCTGCTTGGCTCGCTAACTACAGGTTTGCCGCCGAGCTCTGGCTCGGCGGGGGACGGTGGGGGGGTCGCGATAATCTGTACCAGATTGGAGCCAAATGGTACGGTTGCGGAGCAGGCCGTGCAGCACACGCGAGGGCAGGGGGGCCTTCACGGGCAACCAAAACACAACCTACCGAGCCCACCCGTTTTGGAGGGCCGAGGGGAGCCAGGCCGGGAACGTGGCCCACCGGCGAAAAGGCCCCCCAACAAGCTGGCACGCCCCTGCGGGCTCCGAGGCTCCAAGGAAAATTCCACGATCCCACCCCAAACTGTCGGTGCACATCAACACTCATGCTCTACGATTATTATCCCATGATGGTGTCCGTTTCGACCCACCCCTGGAATGTTTTGCTGAGGAGGCGAGAAGTACAATAAAATTGCTGCTTGGCTTGCTAACTACAGGTTTGCCGCCGAGCTCTACCCACCTCCGCTTGCGAGCTGTATGTGTCTCAACAGCATGGTCCTTCACCCGGGGCACAAAATGTGCTCGGACCTTGAATGAGTTGAGAAGGAACTTGGAACACAATCAAATCCGAAAGCAAGCCCCCAGGCCCGCCCTCGCAGTGTGCTCCAGAAGAGTTATATCTTCGGTGACCACCCTAGACTCCGAACAAAACGAGCTGCAGGACACTCTTTACTGCCATATATACAGCACGAACGAGCCTACGGGCCATGTTGATCCAGGCGCCTGGGAGCCTAGCAACTTGGATTTCACGATCAGTCATGGACATATAGCGGATCTCAGGGAGCGGGAGCCCTGCCAGGGTGGAGTTGATATGAGCCACGACTGTATCTCTTTCTGAACTGATGTCGCAGTCGAGGCTACTCCACACCGGGTTACTCCACTGAACAGTGAAGTTGACGATCCTCTCGACCATATGGACTCCGTAGAACCCGGAAGGTAGCAGGTCGAGCGTCATGTGCAGCTCGCGGTATTGACCGGGCCAGATCAGCATCTGCCAGCTCTCTGCCATGTGAGGTATGGTCACCGAAGCCTCAGAGATCGCGGTGGCGACCTGCTCGGCCCCAGGCGGGCGGGGCTCGCCTGACAGGAACTCGCGCTGGATCCAGTCTTGCAGGATCTCGGGGTCGTCCGCTAGCCGCTCGGCGTGGCGCTGGCGGACGTGAAGGTCGGTGATGTCCACCCCGCGCCAGGCCTCCTGCAGGAGGCTCGCCGAGCTGCGGGACGACGTCACGGCAAAGTCGGACACGCCTTGTGCAGCCGTGATGACTGCCCCGAGGCTGCTGTCGACCACCTTGCCCGCTGAGACGGATACGCTGGCCACGACGCCCATCATGGTCCCGAGGTGGGCGAGCGGCCCGGCCACGTAGCGCCACCCGATCATCAAGGCGGCGACCGCCGCCCACGTCACTCCTCGCGAGGTTGAGCGTCCGCGCCACCTCGCGATGAGCCAGGCCGCGCGCAGCAGCGACCAGCTGCTCCAGCGCGCGCGCCTCTGCCCCGCGGCCGCGCCCGCTGCCAGCGGCTGCGCCACCAGCGGCTGTGGGGACCTCAGTGCTGCCGCGCCAGGGGCCGCTGGCGCTGGCGCCTCGGCCTCGACCGCGCCCGCGCCCGCCGCTGCATCCCCCGGCTGCTGCGGGCCCGCCAGCAGCCCATCCACCAGTGCGCTCAGTGCTGGCGCAGGCGGCTGGGCTGGCGCTGCCCGGGGCGCTGGCGAGGCCACCCGGCGGCCCCCCGCCAGCGGCGCCGGAGGGACTCCCTCCGCAGGCAGCACCCAGGCGCCGTCCTGGCCCTTGCGCCAGCCCGCTGGCGGCATGCTGGATGCCCTCGCCCTCGCCGAAGATGCCCTCCGGGAAGTAGTTGGGCAGCTTCTCGGCCGCCTCGCGGATGAGCGGGGCGATCCCACGCTGCTCAGCCTGTGCCAGGGCCCGGGAGGCGGTGACAACGTCCACGTAGATGCGGAGGCTGGACTCTGTGACCCACCGCCCCGCCTCCTTGATGTCCTGGAAGGGGACACCACGAGCCACGGAATCGCTGGCGAACCCTGCGCGCGCCGAGTGAGGCGTCCAGTGAATGTCGAGGCCCAAGGCTGCTTCAAACTGCTTGAGCCGATGCCTGTAGTCGACGAGCGAATAGGGAAAGAGGAGCCCCTCGGGCGGCGTTCCCAAGACTACTCGGTGTAAGAGGTTCTCCAGCACTCCGCCCTGCTCCAAAATAATGGCGAACTGCATCCTTTTGGCCTTTGTCCCCGACTTGGCCCCCTGGTTGATAACCCAATTTGGCTGCAGATCAGGTCCCCCTCTAGACGATGGCAAGGATATGTCTTTTGCTCTAAGCTGAAGCATCTCCGATGGGCGCAAGCCGCGGTCCACCTGCAGCAGCAGGCCTACGCCCAGCCGCGGCGCGCCCCAGCAGGAGAAATAGATGGCGGCCAGGTTAGCCGGCGCGCGGCCCAGCGGCGGCGCGTGCTTCACCTCGGCCGACACTCGCCACGCGTCGATCACCGAGTGGGACCACGTCAGCTTCCTCCTCAGGCGTGGGAAGACGAACTCCACCGCCGCGACGGCGTACTCAAAATTGCACTTGGTCATCTGCATGTCGTTCTTGTACTCGACAAGCAGGTCGTCCCACTGCTCGGGCCCGTCGGGGACGAAGCCGTGCTCGTCCAGGTAGGTCGCGAACTTCATAGCCGCCGCCCTGTAGGCCGCCAGGGTGTGCGGCTTAACCTTCTCAACAGAAGTGCTGTCCAGCTTCCTCGGCCCCGACATGAGGTAGGCCGCGGAGCTCAGCGCGAGTCAGGCACCTCGATATCTTATCGGCAGGCTGCCTGAGCGTCTCCACCCATGGAATCAAAATCTTTGTGCGAGATGCCATTCCTGCTGCGGTCTTCTGACGCAACAGGTGGTTCAAAAGGTGCGCCGGGGACCTGCCCTTGCTCGCCGCACCTGAGACGGGCTGGTTGTCCTCCAGGATCGGCAGCACGGTGCGGTGAAGGGCAGGAGTGGCGGCCGCCAGCCTGCTGATCTTCACGACGCAGCGCCCCTCGCCCAGCGTGATGTGATCGGCCGACCGCCACCTGCCCGCTCCTACGATCGTCCAGTCCTCGTCGGGCTTGAACACGCGATCGGGCAGGAGGCCGAAGGGCTTCGTCCGTCTGATGACCTGCTCGGGGCGCCGCAATCCAGTGAGCTCGCCGTCCAGCCTCGCCACCGTGTAGCCCAAGTTGCCGCCCGTGTCGATGAAGTCCTTCGCGATGTCCTCGCTCATGTCGGTCACCAGGATCCCCCAGCCGCCGTCGTCCTCCACGTTGGCGCCCATGGCGTCTGCCGCGAAATGCACGGGGGCTGGCGGGGCTCCCAGGTCAGCGTACATCAACGGGACTACCCTAGCCATGGCCCGCAGCTCCCTGCGGGCGGTCGCCCAGGTGCTCACCCGCTGGTGCGGGTACCTCTCCAGGAGTCTGAAGACGGCGCTGGGTATGCAGAGCAGCTCGCGCCGCAGTAGAGCGCCCCAGATCCAGACCCCCAAGAGCGAGCGCAGCTCCTCGGTGTGGAGGGTGCGGGTGGCGCCCATCGCCTCCAGCTGCTGCACCAGCTCCCGCGCCCTCTTCGGAGGCAAGCGCAGCTGCGCTGGACGCGCCTGTGGTGCGTAGCCCAGCACCTTCTGCATGTCGCTGGCCTCCGTGCGGTCGGTGACCACGAAGCCGGCCTCGGCCAGGGCGTCCGCCAGCTGGTGCATCTTGCCAGTGGCCCGTGGGCCACAGCCGCTGCCCCCCCGCCATCACCACGCCGTCGTCGACGTGCAGGTAGAAGGCCATCTGCGGCCCGTCCAGCACCAGCCCGCGGCCGCGAAGCACGTCCTCGTTCCGCACGGCCACCGCTGGTGCCGTAGTGCTCCGCGAGCCCCATGCTGTGACCGCCCTGTCGGCCTCTGGCGGCCTTCGCCACCCGGTGCCGCCCAAGCCGGTCTGCTCGAAGATGGCCAAGGTCTGGACAATCAAGAAGCCCAGCGACTCGCACATCCCCTCGGGGCACTGGGCCAGCGGGCTCGTGCGGAAGGTGCCGTCGTTCAACTTGCCCTCGGCCGACTCGTGGACGTGGGGCCCGTCGCACCGCAGCTCATTCAGGTCCTCCAGCCCCTGCAGCGTGCCGCTCAGGCATGTGGGCTTCTTCGTCCGTCCGCCCAGCATGCACTGGTCCAAGCACGCTCTCCGAGACGAGCGCCTCGACTCGAAGTCCAGCATCTCATTCGTGTTCCAGATGGATGGGTAGGGCGCGTGCCCTGGGTCCTCCGGGTGCTCGATGAGGAAGGCGCCGCCACTCTGGCCGCGCGCCTCGCAGAGCGCCAACAAGTTTAGCGTCAGGGTGTTACTCTCCGCGACTCTCGCGGCCTCCCAGGCCCTGAGACCTGGCAGACCCCAGGGGCACAGCCGCGAGCGCACCGGCGGCGGGCCAGGTCGGCGACGATTGTAGCGCGCCCGCGACCAGGTCGAACAGGGCGGGCCGCCCAGCACGATGTCCACCCAGCCACCCTCGCACAGCTCCATCAAGGCGGAGAAAGTGGAGGGGTTGGCCAAGTCCCACCGCGGGTCGTCCAGGAGATCGGCGGAAAGGAAGAGCACCCTCAAGTTCCGCTCCTTCGCCAGCCTCTCCGCCACCTCCTGAACGTCACCACGCCGCCGACGGCCAGCGAAGAGATGCATCACCACCATCATCCGCTCGTCCGCCCTCTTCGCCCGCTTCACGGCCTCTATCCACTCTGCCACGCTGTAGCCCGCCGGGCTAGGCGGCGCGGCGCGGCAGCTGGACTGCTGCCCGAGCCAGTCGTCGTCGTAGCGATGCTGCTGAGCGTTCTCAGGTCCGTCATCCACGCAGTCGCCATCCTCCAGCCCCCCGTCCTCGGGCGGCAAGGTGCGTGGCACACCGCTGGCAGCGCCGTCGGCGGGTGCCGCGGCGCCCGCAAGCGCCCCCAAGCGTGCGCCCACACCCAGCAGCGCCCTGCCGATGATAGCCATGTTGACCGTCATGAGCAGGTGCACGGAGTGCGAGCCGCCCATGGCCAGGCGATGGTAGCAGGGGGCTATCCAGCCCGTCGGCCCCACCATGTCGCGCAGGCGCTGGCTGAGCTTCGCCCACACCCAGCAGGCGCGGATCGGCGGGCATGCCTGCCACTTGGCCATCCAAGCGGGGACGCGGAGGCGGGTGAAGGCGTTGTCTTCGTCGAACGCCGCCACGCCCCACTCGTCCGTCGGGACGCACATGGAGGCGATGGCCGCCCCGCCGTGCATCCCGTGGTCGCCGCGCTGGTGCGGGTCGGCCCACACGTAGTTGCTGGCGCACATCATCAGGACCTTCCTCTGCTTGGCGGGGTCCTTCTTGGGCACGCAGCTGAACCCGCAGTAGGCCTGGACGTCGCCGGGGGCCTCGAACGTCCACATGTCCTTCGGCAAATCGTCCCGCATCAAGTAGCGGGCGTATTCGGACGTCGAGCCCCCCACGAAAGCGAAACGTTCCTCCAGCTCCTCGAAGATGACCCCTGACTTGCCGCTGTAGTCCAGCACGTTCCGCTCGTCCGAATAATACTGGCGCTCGCCGTCGGGCAGCGCCTCCAGCAGGTCCACGACCATGTCATCAGGCGGTTCTGCCACCGCCGCTGCGCACATCGTCACGTGCCTGCTCGCACCCTTGCGCTCTCCAGTGTAGGCGTCCTGCGGTCCTCTGTCGCAGGCAAGATCCGTCCCTTGACCGCCTGTCGGGGCAAGCCCCCGGCAGTCGCGCTCGTACCGCGCCGCGTCCTGTAACGCGTACTGCTGCACGAGCTTCCAGGCCAGCATCATCTCGTCGTCGCTCGACTCGCGCTGGCCCGCTGGTCTCGCCTCCAGGGATCCGCGGTCCATCCCATTCATGAGCTCGATGAGCCCGCAGGCCCGACGCCACACGCGCATGCGTCGATCCCAGCGCGTCCTCAATCTGCCGGAAGAGGAAGCTCCTTGTTGTGGCCGATGAGGTAGAGGAATGGGAAAGAACGACCGGGCCTCGGCCTCCTTCCACTGCAGGGCCCGCGTCAGCGAGCCAGGCAAACCCGTCACTGGCATTCTAGGCTGCACCCGCGGCGGCGGGGCACCTACTCGGACCGAGGGAGGGTCGTAAGCCCCTCGGTCCGCCAGTGACTGTCAGGCCTGGGGCTTGCCTCGGCCCGAGGGCTTACCCCCTCGGCCGCGGCCGCGCCCCCCGCCGTCGCCACCTCTGCCTCTGCCGCCACCAGCTGCCTCGGCGCCGCTGCCAGCTCCACCTCCGTGTCCCCCGCCACGGCCGCCGCCTCGGCCGTCGCGCTTGCTGGCGGCGTGGACCCTCTCGTCGCGCTGGTGCTCGGCCTTGCTGTGGGTCGTGGCCTCGGTCACCAGCCAGGTGGGGGCCAAGTCGGCGGCCGACCCTGGCGGGCGCACAGCCAACATCGCCGCCGCCCCCACCTTGTCCTTCGTCCGCATCTCGTAGACGTAGCTCGCCAGCCGCCTCAAGTGCAACTCCAGCGCGTCGTCGGACGCCAGGCGGGTGAGCAGCTCGGACTGGGTCTTACACCCGCCCAGCAAGTAGTCCACGTTGGTGGCGGCGGTCCACAGATCGGTCCAGACCGCCGCATGCCGCTGGCCCGTCACCTCCTGCGACAGCCAGTCGCGTGCACTGGCCGCCCCCGCGCCCCTCATGGTGCGGTGGATCTCCGGCGCCGCGCGCCTCAGATCCGGCGGGAGGCTCAGGTTCCATCGGCTGTCCTCCTGCTGCTGCTGGGTCTGCGGGGCCAAGGCCCAACCCGGGGAGGCCTGCATGCCCGCGCCGTGCGGCGCCGTGGCAGAGGCGAGCAGCGCGTCCAGCTCCTGCGGCAGCGACCCTCCTGGCGGGGACTTCGTCCCCGCGCCCACGTAGCCGTGGGTCTGCAGCACTCGTCGCAGGTCAGGGTGCAGCCCCAGGGAACCGTCCACGGCCGCGATTCTCTCCCAGAAGTGCCAGGCCCAGTACACGTTCGTGGCAGCCTGCGCCTGGAACTCGCGGAGCGTGGCCCCCACCATCTGCACCTCTCGCCCTAGCTTCACAGCATCTGCAGGAGCGCGCGGCGCATGGAAGCTGAGCCCAGCCGCTGGCACGGCCACCTCAGGCGGCACCTGCGGCTGCTGCTGCTGCTGCTGCTGCAGGGCCGCCGTCTGGCTGAAGGGGCCTGGCACCTCGCTCCCCTGGGCGAAAGCCCGCAGCGCCGCCAGGTCCTCCTGCGAGCCGGGCTTCGCCGTCGCGGCACCCGCGCCCGCGCCCTCGGCAGGTGGGGCCCACGGCGGAGGCGGCAGCGCCGCGAGCCCAGGCGGGTGCAGCGGGCCCGTAGGTGCCTCCGCGGTCGCCGCGCAGCTCCCCTTGGGCGTCGGGCCCCCTGGAGCGCCCCAGGCCGCGCCGTCGTCCTCGGCGGCTGCGAGGTCCAGGCCGTCCCCGCCGCTGCTGAGCGCCGCGGCGAAGGCCGAGCGCCGCCTCGAGCGCGCCCACCAGGCGTTCACACGCTCGGGCACGCGCCGCACGAGCAGGGAGGTCCCGCACAGCCCCACTGCCGCGCCCGCCAGGCGGTGCCGCCCAGAGTCGGCCCACAGCACCACCACCAGGCTGGACAGGAAGAGACCGATGCCCAGGTGCAGCACCCAGTCCACGGGCAGCGTGTCCCCGTCCTCGCCGACAGCACGGGCCCAGATCCGGTCCGCGACCTTCTCCCAGCCGTCGGTGTCGGCGGCTACTCGTCGAATCCGACTCTCCGCCTGAGTGGAGAACGTGGCGGCCTCCGTGAACCCCCAGAGGGCCTCGGCCATCTCGGAGCCCGGGACCTCAGGGTTCCCCAAAGCCAGGCGGACGGCCACCGGGTCCAGCGCTGCCTCCAGCCGTCGCGCCTCGTCCAGCTTCGAACGGGGGGCCCGCCCCGCGTTCAACGTCGATCGCACCTTCAGGACGAGCCCCGCGACGTCGTCGTCTGTGACGTCCGCACCAGCGGCCCGCAGCGCCTCGGTCCCTGCCTTCTTGGCGCCCGCCGAGACCGCCATCCAGCTCCGCCTGGCTCCTCCCGCGCCTTCGGCGCAGGGCGCCCAGCACGCCAGCTTGCCGCGGCCTGCTGCACCTGGGCAGCGCCGCCGCGGCCTCGCACAAGTCTTCGATTCCACGGGTGGAGTCCGCTGCTCCCGTCAGGGCGCCATGCCGCGCCCTGCAGCGAGGTGGGCTGGGCGCCCAAACCTCGCGATAATCTGTACCAGATTGCAGCCAAATGGTACGGTTGCGGAGCAGGCCGTGCAGCACGCGCGAGGGCAGGGGGGCCTTCACGGGCAACCAAAACACAACCTACCGAGCCCACCCGTTTTGGAGGGCCGAGGGGAGCCAGGCCGGGAACGTGGCCCACCGGCGAAAAGGCCCCCCAACAAGCTGGCACGCCCCTGCGGGCTCCGAGGCTCCAAGGAAAATTCCACGATCCCACCCCAAACTGTCGGTGCACATCAACACTCATGCTCTACGATTATTATCCCATCACCATCAGCGTCATCATCAGCATCATCGTCATCATCATCATCATCATCATCATCGTCATCGTCATCGTCATCGTCATCGTCATCGTCATCGTCGTCATCATCATCACGACCGTCATCATCACCAGCATTATCACCCATGTCGGCACACCCCTCACACGTTTCGTGGCCCCAAAAGGAGCTCCACTGAAGGCCTCAGTGCCACCGCCCGCATGCGTCCCCCACACCCATTTCGGCACATCCCTCACACGTTTCGTGGCCCCATAGGGAGCTCCACCGAAGACCCCAGTGTCACCGCCCGCATGCGCCCCCCATACACATTTCGGCGCACCCCTCACACGTTTCGTGGCCCCATAGGGAGCTCCACCGAAGGCCCCAGTGCCACCGCCCGCATGCGTCCCCCACACCCATTTCGGCACACCCCTCACACGTTTCGTGGCCCCATAGGGAGCTCCACCGAAGGCCCGAGTGCCACCGCCCGCATGCGTCCCCCACACCCATTTCGGCACACCTCTCACACGTTTCGTGGCCCCATAGGGAGCTCCACCGAAGGCCCCAGTGTCACCGCCCGCATGCGCCCCCCAAACACACAATTCGGCATATCCCTCACACGTTTCGTGGCCCCATATGGAGTTCCACCGAAGGCCCCAGTGCCACCGCCCGGATGCGTCCCCCTCGCCCATATTGGCACACCCTCACACGTTTCGTGGCCCCATAGGGAGCTCCACTGAAGGCCCCAGTGCCGCCGCCCGCATGCGTCCCCCACACCCATTTCGGCACACCCTCACACGTTTCGCGGCCCCATACGGAGCTCCACCGAAGGCCCCAGTGCCGCCGCCCGCATGCGTCCCCCACACCCATTTCGGCACACCCCTCACACGTTTCGTGGCCCCCTCGGGAGCTCCACCGAAGGCCCCAGTGCCACCGCACGCATGCGTCCCCCACACCCATTTCGGCACACCTCTCACACGTTTCGTGGCCCCATAGGGAGCTCCACCGAAGGCCCCAGTGCCACCGCCCGCATGCGTCCCCCACACCCATTTCGGCACACCCCTCACACGTTTCGTAGCCCCATAAGGAGTTCCACCGAAGGCCCCAGTGCCACCGCCCGCATGCGTCCCCCACACAAATTTCGGCACACCCCTCACACGCTTCCTGGCCCCATAGGGAGCTCCACCGAAGGCGCCAATGTCACCGCCACCATGCGTCCGCCACAAGGTTTCAGGAACATCTCCAGACCTTTGGGGAGAACTGGGAGGCGGAGGAGGAGGATGAGGAGGCCCGCTCCCGCCCGGTATGTATGTTGCTTTGCGTTCGCAGGAAATTCCATTCCACCAGCGAGGGCCTTTCTGGTGTTCTCGCTGTGGTCGCTGTAAACGAGCGGTGGAGGAGTGGCCTGGTGGATGTCGTCGTCGCCGTCGTCGTTTTCGTCCGGCGGCGGCGGCGGCGGCGGCGAGGGATCCCCGTCAAGCGAACATCAATGTTCATGGCTTTATGAGTCCGTTCGTACGGGTGGGAAAGCCATGGGGACACCCGTCGCTCAAGAATCCTAGACACAGGGTGGGGCCAGACCACCGCCGCGATGGTTCGGAGTCTTTGCAATGGACGGCCTTGGAGCTCAGTGGATTCAACAAGCATGGACAACGACGCTGCGCGCGGGAAAAGAGAAGGAGAAGGAGGCTGTTTCTCCCGTTCGCCTGCCTCCCCTGGGCGGGAGCGCGGCCTGCCCAGACGGTCAGAGCCTTGCCCGCTATCAGCCAGCCAGCTAGCTAGCTTGCTCTCTTTGCTCCGCGCAGCGGACGACCCGCACGCGTCGCTGGGGCCCTTCCGGGGCGACTGGCGCGCGTCGCGGGGATTCCGCGCCGCGCTGCGCCCGCAGCTCTGGACTTTGGAGTGCGCGGGCAAAGAGGGAGGAAAAGAAGGGAAGGAAACGGGCGCGATCCTCGTAAGGGGCGCGCTGACATGGGTTTCGCGGCGCGCGGGCGCTGCCGCCGGGGTTACCCGCGGAAGCTTTTTGCGGCGGCCACGCTCAGTGTCACGAGTGCACAGACAGGCATGCCCGAACCATTTACATTCATATGCATTCACACGAAGCGTAGCCATGATCGCATTCGTGTAAATATATTCGCTCGCACGCGAACTCATTCACACTTAGACTGACTCGCGCTCAGATTCACCCGCGCTCAGTCTCTCGTAATTCGACCAATCGTTTTCCTTCCTGTTGTGTACCCCGCTACATGTCGGCACGCCCCTGATGCGGTTCGTGGGCACCACCGAAGAAGATACTCGCAATTGCGGTATTCACAGCTGCATATGGTTGGGCCCTTCGCCTGGATATTTTTTCAAGTTGGGACTATCCTCTTCCTCGGGCCCCGTCAAGACTTCAGGGTCACATGCAAAGATGTTTCGGCAATGCCGTTGAATTCTAGGACGCTGTTTTGGCACTGTCCTGGATCGTCATCGGGTCCTTTTGGCTGCCCCTGGAACCAGTATAGAAATCGAGAGCCCATGATCCCATGAGTTGAAACAGCCGAATTTCAGAAAACATTTTTTCAAACTCACCCCCTGCTTATTTTTGCACGAAAACTCCGAGAGGCATCCCAACAGACCGTGGCCTGCATCCAGAAACCGTCTAACCCACAACCCACGCTCTACAATTTGGAAAGAAATGGAACGCCCGAAATCCAGTTTTTTCCCCAAGTTCGCCCCCTGTTTTCTCTTGCGCAGAAGACCACCATCAAGGCCCCAGAAAATAGCCCAGGAAACTGTCGAGGTCCCCAAATCGTTGAATACCTAACAGGTACGAATGTTTCACGTTTCCGCACTTCCCCTCATGTACGGTTCCGAGGCTTGCGCAGGGCTCCCAAGAGAGTCGTTGGATGCAAGAAGTGACAATCATGATACTCCATGGTTTAGCCCGGCGCGCGATGCTTCTAGTGTGCATATGTATATGTATATTTGTACAACTACATATTATGTATTTGTATAGGTATATGCATTTGTACATGTGCATGTACATGCTCCTGTATGCCGTCATGTGTATGTGTATGTTTCTGTATACGCACGCGTGCATGTATATGTTAGACACACGTGTATATATATATATATATATGCATGTCTGTTTGAATAGATGTATGTATATGTATGTGTGAACGCATGCAAATGTTTCATCACAATTACATGTATTCGCATATGTAGTTGCAGGTGTATTTGTATATATATATATATATATATATGAACGCACATGTACATGCTCATGCTTATGTATAGGTATGAAGGTATATGTATGCATATGCATATGCGTGATTACGCGTGTGTATCGTTATACGTATATATATATATATATATATATTGTGAATATATATATATATATATGTATGAGTATAGTACACATGTACATGTTAGTGCATGTATGTGCATATGTACGAGTATACGTATACGCATGTTTGTATATATGTAAATATATGTTGTTTTATGTATGTGTATATGCGTAGGTGTGTGTATTCATATTTGCTGATGCATGTGTTCGTTTAGCTTATGCGCTTACGTATACGTGTATAGTTTCACCTAGACGTACATAAAATTGTGTAGGTATATAGTTTGTTTACATATGTGTATATTTACACATGTCAATGTGGATGGTTGTACGTATGCATATATGTATGTCTGGTTATATGTAGGTACGCATGCACATTCATATGCAATTTTGTATGTATATGGTTATGCAACTGTTTATGTATATGTATACGTATACGTTTATGTATGTGTAGCTGCATGTGTGCATGATATAGATGCATATTTTATGTATATGTATACGTATATGGTCCCGTATAGCTGTTAATGTATATGTTTACAGATTTGTTTATATATGTTTCCGCATATGTACATGTATATGTGTATGTGTATGTATATGTGCATGTATCGGTATACGTATATGTGTGTATATATTTATTTATATATATATATATATATATATATATATATATTCGTGCATGTGCACGTACATGTACATGTACATGTATGTATATATATATATATATACATATCTATATATATATATATACAGATGTACGTGAACATGCTGGCCGATATATAGGATCGAGCTTGGTACGGGGATGGTACCCTAATGTTAGGTGCGTCGGCCCTCCGTTGATCGCGAGTGGGCTCTGCGATCCAGGTGCTGGGACACGACACGACGTTGCTGCCTGGTCCCGGTGGCGCCAGGCCCACTGATGCGCCCCAGGGTCTCCTGCAGCCTCTGGTTATGTGGGGCTTGTGGGCATGCACGCGCGACTCCCGCAAGCCGTACGCTGCGTGTCCACGACCTTCATCGGATTCAAAAGTGGTAAATGCCTGCTCTCCAACGGAAGTGGGAACGGTAGGGTCCACTGATGATGATGATGATGCTTTTGATGGTTGTAAAGATGGTGTTGATGAAGAGGATGATGTTGATGGTGATGCTGGTGATGATGGTTATGCTGATGATGGTCATGGTGATGGTGGTGATGATGATGGTGGCGGTGATGGTGATGGTGATGGTGGTGCTGCTGCTGATGATGACGTTGACGATGCTACTGCTGATGATGACGATGATGATGAAACGGATGAGGAGGAGGATGATGATGATGATACGGATGTGGTTGGGGATGACCATTATGTTGTTGATGTTGTAATGTTGTTCATGATGATGATTCAGATGATGGTGCTGATGCGGATGATGATTCTGATGTTGTTACTGTTGATGATGATAAGGAGAAGGGGATGACGATGCTACCGATGTTGTTGGTTGTGATGGTGTTGGTGATGTTGCTGATGCTGATGCTGACGATGATGACGATGGTGATGCTGCTGTTGATGATGATGATGATGATGACCACGATGATGATGATGCTGATGATGATGATGGTGATGATGATGATAATGATGATGCTCATGCTGATGCTGATGGTAATGACGAGGTTGTTGTTGATGATGATGAAGATGATGACGACGACGTTACTGATGCTGCTGCTGATGATGATGATGCTGATGATGATGATGATGATGATGATGGTGATGATGGTGGTGGTGGTGGCGGTAGGTGGTGGGGAGGAGGAAGAGGAGGAGGAGGAGGAGGAGGAGGTAGGTGGGGGTGCAGGAGGCGAAGGAGAAGTGAGGAGGGGGTATGGTCCACCTCCTCCATCTCCGTTCCTTCTAACGGACTCCCCCTGTTGCACTTCCAGACGTGACCTCCTAGGTTGCCTGTGACCTCCTAAGCATAGCTGTTTATGAAGCTTGAGACTTGCAACGGCTTCGATGATGGATGCTCTTCGTTTTCGAAATTGAGCTCTCGCCTTAATGCCGCGCACGTTGGCCTTGAACAGTTGCAGCAGTTTGAAGGTAGAGGGCTGCCCCGTTTCAAAATATGGCTCCCGCCTTAATCCGCGCGCATTCGTCTGAAAAGTTTTGCAGCAGTGTTGACTATGGATAGGGGCCCATCCAGAAACGATGTCTATAGGAATTGCCTCGATCAGGGAAGTGGACAGCACGCACAGGAAGGGTCTCCCAGTGGAGGCCTCTTGGAGCGTCTTGAGGGCCTCTTGGCGGTCCTGGACGCCTCTTAGAGCGTCTTGGGTGCTTCGGAGAGCTTCTTGGGGCCTCTTGGGGGTCTCTTGGGAGCCTCTTGGAGGCCTCTTGGGCGCCTGTTGGGGCCTCCTGGGGCATCCTGGCCGCCTCTTGGGGCTCTGGGGAGCCTTGGGAACGCTTTTGGCGCCCTATTGGGCCATCTTGGAGCCATCTTGAAGCCTCGTATGGCCATCGGAAGCGAAAAGGCGAGAGAGCCAAAAACATTTAATTGTCCTAGGTTTTGACAGGATTTGGGCCTCTTCGGGGCCTCCTTGGGGAGCTCTTTGGCCACTGGGAGCCGTCTTGGAGCGGTCGTGGGGCCTCTTGGAGCATCGTGGGAGCCATCTTGAGGCATCTTGGGATATCTTGAGCCATCTTGGAGGTCACCTTGGGCTCTCCCAGGCGCTGTTGGAGTCATCTTAAGCAGTGCCCCCCAGGAGGCCAAAGTGTGGCCAAAACCTTAGTAACATCAATAATTTTGGCATTCTCGCCGAGGCCTCTTGGAGCGTCTTGGGTGCCTCTGGGGGGCCTCTTGGGGCCTCTTGGGGGTCACTTGGGAGCCTCTTGGGGGCATCCTGGAGGCTCCTTGGGGGCCTCTTGGGGCCTCCTCTCCTGGCCCCCTCTTGGGGCCCATCCTGGGGCACCCTTGGCAGCCTTGGGAGCGCTCTTGGGGCCATCTCGGAGATGATCGATCAAAGAAGGGGGGGTCTTAACTAGCGCCGCCCCCCCCAAAGGCCGAAATGGGGCCCAAACTCTAGTAAGACCAATGATGTTGGCTTCCTCGCCGAGGCCGTTCTGGACGCTCCAGCGACCCGCGGAACGCCCCCTCCAGGTCGAGGGGAGGGGGTATGTGGCAGGGGTCAAGAGTACCCCTCCCCGCCCGCAAGCCGTCTCGCTCACTCCCACCCGCCCTCCCAACACATACGTAGCACCCGAGCCTGGCCCGAGCCGCAGCATATGCAGCAGTCGTCTTTGGATGGCCAGCTACTGGGGGCCAATCCGCCGCCGCCGCCGCCGCCGCCGCCACCGCGCTGCCCGCCGCCGCTGCCGCCGCCGCCGCCGCCGCCCCCGCTGCCAAATCGCCGCCGCCGCAGCCGCTGCCGCCGCAGTCGCTGCCGCAGTCGCTGCCGCCACGCCGCCGCCGCCGCCGCCGCCGCCGCCCCCGCCGCCGCCGTCACCGCCGCAGCCGCCGCAGCCGCCGTCCCCGCCGCAGCCGCCGCCGCAGCCGCCGCCGCCGCCAAGTGTACTCCGCATTGTTTTTTTTTGACAGGGATGGTGGAGGAGGCCGCATCGGGTTCGCTGCGCATGCTCCGAAGTTGGAGACAGAGTGTGTGTTTGGATTGTTTTTTACAAGGGATGGTGGGGGCAGAGTGTGTTTTGTTTTTTTTACAACGGATAGTGGGGGGGGGCCCGCATTGACTTGGGTTGGCTCCCAGTCGCCTGGGGGAGGGGTGCATATTAATAGGGACAAGTGATAATCCCTCTCCGAAGGGGAAGAAGGGGGTGGAAGAGGAACCACCTTAAACCACCTACGCCCTCGTACGCAACTAATTCAGACTGATCTTCGCATGATGCTCGGAGCAACGTCGCATGCACCACTTGATTTCCTAAACGATGCTGCCCCATTTACGCGCCGGAGCGATGCAAACCAGTGCCTCTCACAAGACGGGACGTCAAAACAGCTTCTTGTAGTGAAGCGGCACGCTTGTAGGGACGCGTGCGGAGGGGGCTCGGGACGGGAGGGCGGCTTGCAGCATCGCTGATGCATCTTGGGCTTACTTTGGTCCTCCTCCTCCTCCTCCTCCTCCTCCTCCTCCTCCTCCTTTATGATCCTCCTCCTCCTCCTTGTCCTCCTTCTCCGCTTTTGTGGTCCTCCTCGAACTCCTGCTCTCCCCTCTCCGGCTCCCTTCTCCTCCTCTGCTTCTCCTCCCCCTCCCTCCCTCCCTCCATCTCCCTCTCTCTCTCTCCTCTTTTCACCCTCCCTCCTCTTCATCCTTCCTCCTGCTCCGACGGCGTCGACGGTAGCGGCGGCGACGACGAAGGCGACGACGCCTGGGCTGCGAGGGAATCATCGACTGGTATGTGTCCAGGGACGTGGGGAGGCCGCAGTGGTTTGTGGAGTCGGACCAGGAGACGTGGGCGCGAGGTGGGGTGGGGGAGGGGAGAAGGAGGGAAAGAGGGAACGGGTACCGCATGCGGGAGGTGAGAGGAGGGAGGAGGGAGGAGGGAAGGAGGGAAGGAGGGAGGACGGAAGGAGGAAGGGAGAAGGAAAGGAGGGCAGAAGTGTGGAGCAGGGGCGAGGGAGGAGGGAAAGTGCTGCCGCCTCCTCTTTCCTCCGCGACTGCTCGCCCGTATGCTCTTCCGGCCGCGGGTCTTCTTTGACGACAAGGGCGATCCATGGAGGAAGACGAGGCGGAGGAGGAAGACGAGGCGGAGGTATGGTATGGGTTGGCCCTAACAGGAGAGGCCGAGCCTCATCGGGGAGCAGCGCGAGCTCCCCTTTGGGGGCCTCCTGGGGGCCTCTTGGGGGCCTCCTGGGGCCATCTTGGGGCTATCTTGGGACCTCATGGGGCCTGGGCGCTTCTTGGGGCCATCTTGGAGGAGATCGATCAAACAAGAGGGGAGCATTAATTAGCGTCCCCCCCCAAGAGGCCAAAATGGGGCCAACACCGTAGTACACAACCAATGATTTTGGCTTCCTCGCCGAGGCCGTTTTGGACGCTCCGACGACTCGCGAACCCCCCTGTCCAGGTCCATGGGGAGGGGCTAGGGGGAGGGGTAAACCCCTCCCCGAAGGGGAAGAAGGAGGGGTGGAAGAGGAAACTCCGTAAACCACCGACGCCCACAGGGCTGGTGGGATTATTCTAACTTGCGCAGCTGGGGAGCCCCAAAGTCCCGAAGCGGGGGGTCCTGAAAGTTGCTTCGAAGATGCGTGCTGCTGCGTGGACCTTCGCGACCAGGGGGCTCTCTGTCATGGGCAAGTTCAGGCAGCGACGACCCAGCGAGCGCGCAGGTCCGCGACCTTTGGCCCATGTTGTTCTCCGCCCGTTTTGGCGGACCGCAGTTTTGTCGGGCGCCTCAGGGACGCGAGCCTCGGCTTTGCCTCCTCCCCCTCCCTGCCCCCGCCAGGTGCCGAGGCTCTGGCCGTGGTCCGCCTCCCTTCTCCTGGCCCCGGCCGGGCCCGTCTCCAGCCGCCGCGCCGCGCCCGACGCTTCGGAGAGCCGCTGCCTCTGTGCTTGCCGAGCACGTGTTCTCGAATGGGGTCGCCCACACTTTTTGCTTGCGCCTGAGATTTCTGATGTTCCATTTTAGCCTTGATCGCCAGAAAGAAATTCGAGCACCACGAAAATACCGAAACTGGAGCGTTTTCTCGTGTAGGGCCCTGGGAGGCGATACTCGTTCGACACTGTTCTGGGTGTTCGAAATTCTTTATGTGATGAGGTCCTTAAGTACGCAGGGAGTGGTTCCCTACTTGCCCGAACATCTGAATGCCGTGGAATGGGATCGCGCGCGGGACGTCTGTCTGAGGCTGCCCCCGGCCCACGGTGCCTGTGTACTTCAGACCCTCGCTGGAGGGTGGACAGGAGCGACAACGTTTCAGGATTCCTGAGCGTGTAGATTTGGATGCGCCCATCGCAGAGACCATGTTCCTCATTACCTCTACTGTCAGCGGGTCATCGAATGTTCTGCAGCTGTGGTCGATTCTGAAAATCCCTTCTGATATTCTTTCTCGTCTTGGTCTCCGCGATCCTGCTCCCGCCGGTTCTTCTTCATTATTGCTGCACATTTACTGTGCACAACTCTAATACAGATGCCAGCGCCGATCCCCCAGCATACGGTCAAGGCGGCTATTCCTCAGGTCCGCGCTGCTTTCCAGCGCGACGGTTGGGGCTGCTTCGAGGACATCCGAACTCTGCTGCGTCTTAGGATACGTGCCAGGAAGCTGATGCTGCTGCTGATGCTGCTGCTGATGATGATCATGCTGGTGGTGATGGGTGGTGGTAGTGGTGGTGGTGGGGTGGTGGTTGTGATGATGATGATGATGATGATGATGATGATGATGATGATGATGATGATGATGATGGTGATGATGATGATGGTGGTGATGCTGATTATGATGATGATGGAGGTGATGATGATGATGATGATGATGATGATGATGATGATGATGATGATGATGATGATGATGATGATGATGATGATGATGATGGTGAGGAGGAATAGTATGATGAGGGCGATTCGTATGTTGATACTGGTGTTGATAGGGGACGTTGTTGATGATGGTGCTTATTGCGGTGAAATGGTTATGGTGATGAATGCTAGTTTTGACGGAGGGAGGCGAAGAGGTGGAGGAGGAGGAGGAGGAGTGGATTATGAGGAGGAGGGAAGGGGGGGAGAAGTAGGAGGATGAGGAAGAGGAGGAGGAGAAGGAGGAGGAGGAGGAGGAGGAGCAGGAGGAGGAGGATGAGGATGAGGAGGAGGAGGAGGAGGAGGAAGAAGAGGAGGAGGAGGGAGAGGAGGAAGAGGAAGAGGTCAACGGAGGATCAAGGAGGATAAGATGAGAAGACGTGGCCACGGATACACAGGGAAAGGGGAAGAGGGGCGAGCTCCAGCCTCTAGCTGCCCATGCCTTCCTGGCGCGGCGTCGGGCGCGGCTGGTCGTCGCCCCAAGATCGCGGTTGTCCGCGCTGGCCGCGCCAGCAAGGACGAGTGGGCGGTATTGCACCACTTGACCACCCTCCACGACTTGCGAGTGCCCACCTTCCTGCGCGAGGAGCGCCCGAGGAGAGGAGGGGGAGAGGGGGAGAGGGGGAGCGGCAGAGGAGCGGAAGGGGAGGGGGGGGGAGGAGAGCCCGGCAGCGCTGTCCAGAGGTTGGCAGAGGGACTTGAGAACTGGTTCTATCCCTTCTGCCGTTGCTTGCTGGCCCGCCTGTGTCCTGTTCTTTCAGGCAGGTGGAGGAGCGAGAGGGGGAGGAATGGGTGGGAGGGGGAAGGGGGAGGGAGAAGGGGGAGGGGAAATGGGGGAGGGATGGAAGGGGGAGGACGGGGGCTATGCGCCGCGAGAGCATGGGGCAGGACAGGGGGCCACCCGCTTTTGGGAGCTCTTGGGAGATCCAGCGGAGCGGTGTTCCAAGCATACCCAGGCGAGACCTAGCCTCCGCACCTGTCGTCACTTTCGTGGGCCCTTGGACAGCCCAGCGGAGTGACGTCGTACGGGGGGCCCGAGTGAGACCGCCCGGGAGCGTCCCAGGGGCTTCCCGGGGGCCTTTGAGGGCTTCATAGGGGCCTGAAGCGCAGAGCGCGGGGGCGTCACTTGGTGCATGGCGTGGTCCTCGACGAGCCACCCCCCCACACCGCCTTCTCAGTTGCCTGCCGCCCGCAGCCAACTCAGGGCGAATCGCCCTGGCTAGTAAACGCAGCGGCGCGGCCCTTGGCGGCCTACCTCCACCCCACGCTGCCTCGTCGGCTGCCCATCGCCCGCAGCTGGCCTGGGCGAGCTGCCCTGGTGAGGAAGCACACCGGCTCGCAGCTCTGGAGTGAGCCAAGCAGGTTCGAGGGAGGAGAAGCTACCCCAACCCCGATGACTGGCTTTTACTAAAGGTGCACTTGGCGTCTACTAAACAGCCTTGCTGGTTCGATTCCAACCTTGGGTGCGCTTGCTGCACGGATTCGCGTGTCGGTGTGCTTACTCTGGGGGGTAATTGGCTGCTCTCTGCAGGTGTGCCGCACGGCGCCGTTACTCGGTCAAGTTATGTTTTTCTCCTCTCCCTCCTCCTTCCCCTCCTCCGTCTCAAGTCCTTGTGCCCCCCGTTGCACTGTTTTTTGGCGCGCCCGTCGTCCCGTCTTTTTTGCGAGCCGAGTTGCGAGAGTGCGTGCGTGCACTGGGGGCGGTGCGAATGGCTCGACGTTGTCTGGCGAAGCGTCCCAGAGCGCTGCATCTTTCTCAACCTGTGTGCTTGTTTGTTTGCGGCATACCTATCACCACCTACCAAACCACCCCAACCCAACCCGAAGGCCTCAATTTGCCCTCCATTTCCAGTGGGGGGGGGGTCGGGGAACATCGAAAAAACACGTATGGAACCCATACCCCCCCAACCCGAAATTCGGGTCTTCGGGTTGGGTTGGGGTTGTCTGGTAGGTAGTCAACCTATTGGTAGTCGCCTCGCGATAGGAAATGGCCGGGTACGTCTCGGGTAGTTATTTGTGTCCGCGCTACGGCACTCGATTCCGTCCCCATCGGGGGTGTCCGCGCAAGGGCAACTGCAACTGTCTCTTTTTTTTCTCTCTGTCTCTCTCTGTCTTGTTCTTCCTTCAGTGAGGTTGAGCTACATTTGCAGTCTGATTGCATTATGCTGTGTGCTGTCAGACCCGATTGGTGCTGTGTTTGTGTCGTGCCAGGATGGGGGAGTGCTGCATGGGAACGGGATTGTACGTCGAGGGCTTCACTACGAAAGGGAACTGGGTTAATCTGTAGAGCGGGGCCACGCCCTGGGACAACGAACCATGGAAATAAAAAGCTTGAGAAACGATCTGACAGACCTGAGCCGTGCCATAGTGTGGTGACAGGCGTTCGAGCAATGTGGATGCCGATTCCATCCTGAGGGCTGGCCGGGGGGGTCGCGCTGATGCTTGCACGTAGGGCGCGGCTCCCAGCATTGCAGGCTGAGCAACTCTCTTGACACGTATTTTGGCGATGTCAACTCGGACGTTGAGCTCGAAGGTTGATGGTGAAGATGATGGT